TTTTGTTGTTTTTTTTTTTTTTTTTTTTTTTTTTTTTTTTTAATTCTGACTCTCCCTAACAGCAAATATTGATCAGATTACAAAAGTGACTATTAAAGTGTGAGTAGTTTGGTAGAAAAGAACACACTTCCCAGATCGTGTGTTTCTTCCTCTCGTAGGTACCAGCATATCCTGCACAGAAACCTCATTTATTTAGCTACGATTGCTGACGCAACGCCACCCAGCACGCAGAAGACCGTAGACTGACTGCACGTACGTGGACACGAGCAGCGATGCTTTAAGAATCTGTAGAAATACTTAGTTTAACTGAGTCCCATTTTGAGAGCTGAGACGGTGTGCTCTTGAAAGGCAGGTAAAAAGTCATCCACACTTTGTGAAAAACATGAATGTAGTTTTTGATGGAATAGGCTAGTTTTTTCCCCATTACTATAAGCAGAATTAAGGGTGATAATTATCATACTCCCATTTTCCCTTTGAAAAACTCCACGTAGCGTACTTCTGAAAACAGCCTGTTTGTCGGTACAGCACTAGCAGAGGTGCCTTTGGAGGACTCCTGCTGTCTCACTGAAGCAGAATACCGGGGTAAGCGTTTAGCTGGGTAACTCCTGACGCCAGCACGATGAAGCCAGTCAGACATTGCCATGTGCATAAGCGATAGACTGCTTTGTATCTATCTTGTATCATAGGAATTGTGCCTAATAAACAAAAGATGTTCTTTGTAAATTATGGATTAATGTAACATGTTAAAGGAACAGCTCAGTGATTTAGTGAAATAAAAATGTTAACTTTTCTAGGAAAGACGGGACCGTTGCATAACTTGGAGCAATGAAGTGCAAGGCAGGAATCAAGCCTATTATAAAGGCTGCGTGTTTGCCCTAGTTGTGTCAAGACTTCTTGCTTGAAGTGCTCTGTACTGCAGACTGTAAACAAGTACATTCTTGCATAATCAAAATGGATTCGTGCGCTTCCTGGGTATTTGTCAGCATTTACGGTCAGCCGTGTGCTTACTCGCACACACCTCAGATAGGGCGTTTCAGCAGCACGAATAACATCATAGCCTCGATAATAGTCCTGGCGGGGCACAGGAGGAGTTTGCTTTTTGCTCCCTACCATCAAAACTATTTACTCCCACTGCTAAAAATGCAAGTAACTTGGGTTTGGCAAGGTTCACCGGCACTGCTCACTCAGAGGCACTGCTAGGGCATTTTCCGTGTCACGGTCTTCGGTGCAGCCCACTTGAAGAAGTAGCCTTAAAGATGCTTCAGGTTGTACAGTGCATAAAGTTCATTTTATAGGATGAGGCAGTAAGTAGGCAGTTGACAATTTTCAAACTGTTAAATAAGCCCATGTTAATGAAATAAGATCTTTGTTTACAAACCAAAGTTACAGTTTAAGGTGCTGCTCATTTTCAGCAAGGTGCATATTTTAAACAGGTATGACCTATTAAATGTATATCTTTAATAAAGCAAATAGTTTACTTTTACAGAAGCTTTAAAATACAAAATGTACAGTTCCAGTTCAGAAGCGTTAGCTATTCACAAGAAGCACTGCAATAAGGGTAAGTTAACTAAGCACCAAACCCTTGCACTCGGCAGTGTAAGTGAAGTTTAATGGCAAGACTCGTTTGCCAAGTGCAACAATTCTTAAAATCACCAGTGTTCAGAACAATCGGAAGCAAAGGACAGAGTAGCACCTACGTGGTCAGAATGCAGACAAACTGTCTTGGTTTTCACAATTCGCTTCTGTAGGTCCAGAAACTTGCCGGCATTTGTAATTATGGATAAACTGCGAAAACTAGAGCAGGAATTTTGGCACTTGTTAGAAAGAGTTCAAAATGAAGTGTTTTCATTAACTTCCATTTTGGTCTTAGTATGAATAAGCGGTAAGTACAACCAAATTTAGGATTTAATGTTAGATCTAAATGACAAGATTTAGGAAACTCAAAACCAGTCATCAAGTTAAATAACCACTAACATTTTCAGCAGAGGGTTTTCAAAATTATAGTAGTACAGACCATTAACAATTTACAGACAGAAGCCACACTGATTGTGCAAAGCACGTTACTGTAAAAAGTCTATGTACAGCAAACAAATCTTTGTAAACATGGTAAGTATGAAGTCTCAGAAAACATGGTGACAATATCATAAATACAGGCAACATTGGCATCCTCAAACAGCACAAAAGGTAACAATCTGGGCCTGCAAATAGAGCCCGTCACCATACAAACAAAAACGGTGGATGGGTTTTAAATACCCAAATGCTTAATAGTTTTAGTGTTGTGTATACTTTTTATTTATATATATATAATGTATTTATTTTTTGGTATCTTTAGATATAGATGTACTTCGTTTGTAAAAACAAAAACAACAAATGTGCTTTATCTTCATTGAAAAATTATGTAGTTAGAACTAATAACCCATTTTACTAGTAGTTAACGTATTAGAATGATATGACTTAAGAAAAATACAAAAATAAGATTAATACTGTCAAAACTCTTATACCAGAAAATATTGTGGTTTTTAGACTCTTTCAAAGATGAAATATGAAAATTTAAATAAGCTCTAACTATATAAAGAATCTTCTGTAATCTCAATTAATATACAGCGGGATAGCTATACATATATTTACCATTGTTCTTCAATTTTTAAGCACCAGTCACTCTCCCGGATCCACTTTGGTTGGAAGATTATTCCTAATTCCACAGGTTCACTTAATGGCACATATTGACTGCAAATAATTACTTTATCCTTTTAAAAAAAATAATGTTCTTCTAACTAACTGCTACCCCCCGTTTCAGTTCAGTATCTTCTGAGCCAGCTCACAATTTTTAATCAACTGTAGCATCCGAAATAAGACTTTAAATATATGCGAGTAGTCTTTCAGGCTATGCTTTCACACGCTTAAGGAGCACTGTGTGGATAATGCCTTTGGCCAAACGAAGCAGTAAGAAATGGTGTGTTTATGAGAACCAGCGTCCCATTATCCACACAGATGCCGTCTGCTTTAGCAGCGCAGGTAACGCTTGTGACACAAGGTTGAGTGGTTCTGCTGATCTTTACTTAGAGTAAGGAAACTACCACAAAACTCAATTTCGCAACTGTTTGTGCAGCAGTTCCGTAACGAACTCACTTGTGTGGCACACGAAAAGCTGCCCCGGGCCACTGATGGGGAATACAAAGGCTTTACAGCCCGTCCGTTAGAAATTTAAACACAGTGTTGAGCAAAGTGACCGCTATGCATTTGCTTCAACATAGTCGATGTGTTTCAGTAAGATGTGTAACTATAAATCTATATGAAAAATAGCTATAAAATACAGTGTTTCTCGTATGGTAGTCCTTCAGCAGTTCTTTTAAAAAAAAGGTTTTGAAAGTAAAGGCAATATACACATTTTTAAAAGCATTTCTACATCACAGTTTTGGGCTGTTTCATGTACATCAAACAAACATATTGGCCGCATTTGCTCAGCACTGTAAATCACAATTCAAGAGTTTGCAGATCTCACCCAAACCCCCTCAATTCCCTATTTAATGAGAGAAACAGGATATAGCCAATACACAACTGAGAAACAAAGTATACGTAGCACGTCTGGCCCTGCGCCGCATCTTCCCCTGTGAGAAGCTGTTAGTACTGATGCAGGTAAGACGGTCTGCGTTCGTGCTTTACTGGGAAAGATTTAAAGCCCTTATTCATCTGTTTGTGCTGGGGAGCCTGCGGCTGCGACGGCTGCTGCTGCGCGTAGGCGAAGTTGGAGGAGATGGCGGCGGCGGGGGCACAGTCGCTGGCTGCCGCCCACACGGGTGACTGGAGGATCTGCATGGTGTCGCCCCACTGGCCGGCGGGGCCGCTCAGCGGGTACAGGGAGGTGCTCTGGCTGGGCAGCGTGTTGGTGACCGAGGACGCGTGCTGCCAGGGCGCCTTCGGAGGCCAGGTTTTGGTTTTATTGTCCTGAGAAAACGAGAGTAGTCGGGTTGGGGTTTCTTGTTTGAGTACCAAAACACTTCTTTTCGGAGACAATGCGTAATCCCCTCCGTCAGGCACTCCCAGAAAATTAATTTAGGTTTGACAGTAGAACCGATGCATATATATACAGCATTCCCAATTCTTAAAACCCCTGCCTGTTGAAAAACTTTATTCACTTCACCACATTTGCTTGACACATAGTAGCCCCGCTCTACGTCCCATTTCCAGCAAGACAGATGACAACTCTGGTGATACTTCAATTTTCTCTGCACAGACAATTACTGGCACATGTCAGGCATGATCTCTCAGGCCAAAAGTTGCTGTCTGCTTCAGGGCGAGACACTCTTGCCCTTGATAGAGATAGGCGATTCCAATTTTAAACTTTAAACTCGGAAACTTTGATAAAAGCAGCTAGTGCTACTGGAGTGCAGAGGGTGCGGGTTTCGCCGAGGCAGGCAACCTGGAGGTACCGGTGCTGTTCTAGCCGTTTCCTGGTGTAAACCACCCCAAAATGCAAACAGGAGGAATGACTACGCAAAGCCATTTCCAGCTTACCTGATTACGGTCATCTGCTGCAGAGAGCAGAGGTGGCGATGGCAGCGTACTGGGTTCCTGTTCGCCACTACTGTGTTTTCTGCCCAAAAAGAGAGTGATGTTTACTTTTTTTTAAAAAATGAGTCACCCACATTAATCCACCACTGACATACACCATTCTGTAGTTTCAGTCTGTCAGACTTGACAGCCTAGATTGTGTACTGACGTTTCGTGTCATTGCGTGTATTTTTGCTCAGTACCGGTAAAAGAGGCAACACGGAAAGGAATCCATTACTGAGCGCTGTCAGGGGCTTGACGGCCCAGTACTGCGCTGAGCTACAGCTTCAGCAACACACGCGTCTCTGCAGAGCTGGAAGGAAGGTGGGCTAGTCTTTTGCCCACTTTGAAGAAATCTGCCTTTTTTTTTTTTTTCCGTTATTTTTTAAAGTATCTTTTCTGAAGTAACTCTACAGACAAGAAAAATGAAACAGTTTAGCATGTGAAACATCTGCTGCAGCGCTGTGACTTCGCTGACAAAAAATGGTACATCTTTGGTTTAAATTTGTGACCTGATATCAAATAGAATCCTTCACCACATGTGCATTCTGGAAGGGGTTTTTTTCCTTTTTTTTTTTTTTTTTTTTTTCTTTTTTTGGGGGCAGGCTTAGATTAAAGCAAAATCTTTTATCCCTTCATTTAAAAAAATAAAAATAAAAATCAGCACGCTCCAACCATCAGGCCTCCAGAGGTGAGCAGTCCTTCACAGGTCAGCTTTAGGACACTCGACCCTTTTGCCTTCTCTTACTGTGGAGTTTCAGCTACGGTCTTTGTCAGGCCCTCCCCTGTACAATGGTTTTCTTCCTAGAACTAACCTAAGACAGCAGCACTGTTACTTCAGTCCAAGTTTTTATTTAATGAGGCACAAACTCTGGGAACTTCCTTCTGCTCTGCTTTTCCGAACACTACATAAAGCACAGGCTTTTGGTCTTCTTGCTTCCCGATCGGTCTCTCGATAGCGGGGGGCGTGGCAGATTAATTCACCCGTTACACGCTTACTGCGTTTTCCTTCCCTGCTGCTTTTTTAAAAATCACAAATAATTACTGCTTCTTCTGTGCCTGCTTATTAGATAGCTCTCTTCCACTAATTTCAATTTAGCATTTATTGAAGCTCAATTCCTGTGCCCTCTCTATAAAGTCTTAGTAAATGCAAAAATTCAGAAAACAGCTCCTCTTCTGGTCAGTTCCTTTCAACCCGTGTGCCTTAGTTTCACCTTCAGCACCAGTGTACTCCCTTTCTGGCAACGCACGTCAGCTATCCAGGGATAACCGGCAGGAAACACCCACTGACTTTCTCCCGCCACCAAAAAGCAGAGAGAATCTTTCATCTAAATGTATTGACTCTAAATTATCCTGTGATCTAAACAGTAAGGTGATATTTGGCCAAAGAACCAGCTTATTTTATTTTTAGAAAAGGCTTTGAAAAATAGTTTGAGAATGATCCCGGACTGGAATTTGATTGGTTTCATATTTCATCTTGTGTCTCTTATTCTCTTAATCTATGGAATCACTGAGGTTCCAAAGGTACCGAGCTTCCGGCTCTTCAGAAAGGCAGAAAGTAACTGTTGTGATTTGTACTACTGCTTTAAGTGGATCGGTCATAGCTGAGAACGCTGGCTCAGTTACCTTACTAAGCTTAGCTATGAACGCAGTTAACCCTCCTCTTCATGTTATCGGAAATAAAGGCCCAAACAGGCGTGTATTTACAATTACTAAAGCAGCTGTGTGGGTAAGGCGAGACAGAAGTCTACACGATGTTATTATCCGCAGTATTTCTTGAGTGCCACAAAGTCGCAGCAGAACCCAGGAAACAGGAACTTGCAGGATCAAAGTGCACCGGGTGAGGGACAGGACAAAGCCGCCTGAAGCACGCAGCTGAGCCCACCGATTCAGAGATGGCCTCTAAGGCCTCAGTAGTTCAGAAAGAAGCGTCATCCAAAATGGATTACCTTGCAAGAGGGAAAGCATCAGATCTTTTCTAGACATGCTGAATTTCAGCTAAAAACTGGCTATTTGCACAGACGCTAGTTAGTTTGAGATGACAGCTACTAATACAACTCAGTCTGGGCATCCCTGGCATTAACGTCAGATACACCATACACTGATCATATCGTCAGTGTTTCATACCTCACTGACGTTTGTACAGCTTCGTCTTATTGGCAGCAGCTTCCTTGGTGTGGCTACTCAAAGTATCAAAAAACCCCAGACGCTTAGGAAGCGGTATGTATTTCTGTGTGTTTTGCTCACCTTCTCTGCTTTACAGCAGCAACAAGGTCTGGCCCTGAGAACATGGAGAACAAGCTGTCCCCGTTAGCTGAGGAGGTCTCGTCACTGGAGCTGGCAGAGTCTCCTTGATTACCAGACCAGCTATTTGTCACATCGCTGCAAGATAAAGAGTTGTATTAGTCCTCGTACCTGGAGCGCCTGGGGCAGGCCCTGCCCCCGGTCAGTCGCGCTGGGTCTGTGTCACAGGCGGTACCGCGGGAGACAAAGACACTTCAATACTTTGTGAAATGTACCAGTAGTACAAACACTTTCACTTCTTTACTCCCGAGTAACATGTCACTGCTTTGTCTCTTACAGTCGCTTCATATAAAATTTACCAAATGAATGATATAAATGAAAAGTGCCTCTCCTGGTCAGGAAGGAGAAACAAACGACGGGTTTGGGATCTCTAAACAGTTGACGTGTACCGCAAAGCTGAGCGAGGACACAAACTCATCCCAGTGGTTTTTAGCCAGCTTGGGAATCACAGTGGTTACATCACGGACGTGTGGACAGAGGATTCTGAAATACCTCTGTTGTAATAAACAGCTACAGTTTGGAAGAGATGAAGAACTACTAACATACTGGCTGCAAGGTACTGTGACATGCCTTATAGAAGCCAGATTAGGCGGCTAAAATCTGGAAAGCTGAATTGTCAGGCGCTGCAACTTTCATAGCATTGCTCTTCATCAAAACTAGGTCTTAAAGGTTTTCAAAATACTGAAACAAACCCCTTTTGAATGGATCTGTGCTATAAATTCCTTATTTCCTCTGTCGGAGTCGAAGTTGGTGTATGTTCCACTCCAAAGCAGACACCAAACCCGTGTCAGTGCTTCAGCCTCAGTGACGCAGGAAGGGCTCCCATCTCTCACTCTTGACATAATGAAGTGCAGCTTTCACAGATGCAGCAGCAATTGGAAAAAAACACCCAGTATTCCCCGTTCTGCCACGTTTGAGTGTAAAACAGAGCCATATACAATAGAAACACATAGCCTGCCGCATCTCTTACCCTTCTGTGAAATACTCAGGGAAGGGCCAGGTTTTATGAGGATCATCAGGGAGGGGCCAGTTGCTGCGCGTGGTGCTCGGGCGACGGACGTGCTGTGCTTGCCGTTTTTGTTGCATAGCCTGGTTGACCCCAGCAACATAGCGGGCAAATTCTGGATCAGAGCCAACTGAATAAAAGAGACCAAGAAGTCAGTTGCTGACATTCAGCTATTTCTACAGCAATCATCCCCCTCATCCAATCCTTTACGCTTGACCATACCCCACAACAGAAAATTCCCTCACTGACAGTAAGCGCCAGACGACAGTTGATACCTCCTCATGGAGCAGCGGAGAACACCGAATGCAAAATGTTTTTGAGAAATAGATCCGTGCCATGGCGGATAACAATTCTCCCAGGGAAGTACACCTGCCCCTTGCAGTCCACCAGGGGAATCGTATTTGTCACCAGGATCACGTCTGTACACGGAGAGGTCCCCTACCCCATCAGCAGACACTGACAGAATTAGAGCCTGCACGTTTATCCAAGCTCAGAGGAAAAGAGCATACCAATTATTATCCCTGATTCCAGATTGCGACATGATTTCCAGCTGCGTTGTGATCCTGCCTACTTCCACGAAGCAGTGTCAAACTGACCGTATTAGAACATACGGCCCAGAAATTACCTGTGCCCTACGGAAACTAGACAACAACTTCAAAAACATTCTGATCCTGATCTGCAAAATACTTCAAAATAAGATTGATATTTACATAAAAAAAGGTAATTCTTAAAAATAAAAATTCTTCCAGAGTGCTTTCTATGTCCCAAGCATCTGGTACATGATAAACCTGATCTTGAGCAGACACGGCAAAAACCTTAATCCAAATGTGTTTTAAAAGCTCAGTTGATCAGAGCAAATAATTCACGTATTAAAAAGAATGCTGTTATGAGTCAGGGTAATTGCGCTTCCACAGCTTCTCACTCTTTTTGCCTTTTTTTTTTTGTGAGGGAAAACTTTGCAATCTGCCTGGATTTATGGCAAGTGTCTAGACTACACGCGGAGTGACTGCAGCAGGCAGCACAGCGCTACTGCCTCGCTGCTCTCAGCTTTACACGAGGAGTGATGACGGAAGAAGATGCAAGAAGCACGCGGAGCTGGGAGAGCAGGAGTCAGTCTGTGGGAGGTGTCCCTACCTTCCATTTGGCATTTGGAGGAGAAGTTCCCTCCTTTTCATTTGGCACATTCAGAAAAGAGCAGCTCTGCAATATTTTGTTGGATGCACATTAAAACAACAATGAAGAGAATAACCTTCGTTTCTACACTTTCTTTATTATATAAGCAAGGGACAGAGCAGCTATCCCACAGCTGCGCAGGAGCAGAATACTCCCACTAACACTCATTCTCCTTGAGAAACAGCTTCACTTCAACTGAAGCTGCGGCTGGAAGCCAGACAGATCCTCAGGTCCCGGTTCAGATTCGAGAGGGCATGCAGGGCTTTTCCCTGTAGATGGCATTAAGTGTGAAATTACTCTCCTATTCAAAATAGCGACTTGTGATGATTTTTACCTCAATAAAAACATATCAGGTAAACAGCTATTTATCAGATGTTTTTTATTTTATTCTTCAACATCTGTGAAAATAATGCAAAAGACCTGGGGATATCAAGGGTCCTTCTACTCGCTCTTACAACAACATTCCTTCATCAAGTTCTTCCAGATGATAAAAGTAGTGCAAAATACATTTTTGGTAGCTAGTTAAGTCTTTGACATGAAAAGCCATCAATTTTATAAATTCTTAATTAGCAGATTTGCATCTGAAAAGAAACATCATTTTCAGGCTCTAAGAATATTTATCCAAAAAGTAATGCCATTTGTTTCAAATGACAAATGTAAAAGTCCTAAGACAGTTTGGAAATGAAGAAGTGTTTTGTGTTGTAAAGCTTTCAGTACCACACTAACTACAGCTTAAAATGGAAATTCCTTCATCACAGCTCAACCTGGCAAGTTATATGAAGAAAAGCTATCTTTCCAAAGGAAAAAACTATTTGATTGGAGGGGGGTTTGTTTTGTTTTTTTTTTTAAACCCCAGATCTGTGGAAAATATTGTCCCCTTAAACTGTAGTAACTTGTACCTTAATCCACAGAGCACCAACTTCACTATGTCACCTTTTCAGAGTATCACTTTCAAAGTCCCTGATATTCGTCATGTCGAATGGAACAAACCAAGTAGCTTGATGTAGATCGCAAGGAGAATACTACAGACATGTAAAGGATTCAAAATCCTACAATTCCCAGTCCTTCATACATACGCATTTTTTTGGCTAACACATAGATGTGTTCGGTGCTTGGTGGAAATAATTTTATCCTTCCTTAACGGCTGTACCAGTCCTGAAGTACATACCATAAGTCCATCTAAATAAGGTGATGCTAATTCAGACTTACAATTGGTAAGAAGCTTTTGATAGCGTAACTACGGTGCCTATTTTTGCTTTATAAACTCCACTAGTTTATCAATTAAGTTGTCAACATAACTATCAAAATTATGAGACAAATGAGCTGGTTTCTGAGATGCCTACGCAGTCCAAACACACACGCACGTGCAAATCAGTGTGGGAAAAGGATTCCTGGTTTGGGAAAAGGTTTTCCTGTTCTTGTGCTGCCTCTCTCCAGGCACTTTTCATAAACGCACACTGCAAAGTTTCTGTAGCTATGTTCCAGGCCAACAGAAATTTATTTACGAGAGAACAGATTTGTAAGTTGTTCTTCATACTACCGTCAGAAGAATTCATTAATCTCCTCTTAGACTCCACAGTCAATTTCATAGTCTTTAGCTATTTGCTTTTAGCTATAAAATTTTATCTGACTTCGTCTCTGTCAATAATCCCTCTACATCTACAATTTATTGGTGGTTCAGACACATCTGGCAAACCACACGGCACTTGCTCTTTAGTCTCTAACCCTGTGGCATCGGAGCCTTTCACTGCAGGAACAGCAGTGGAACAGGAACCAGCGCGACTCCCACGGAACTGCAGAGATACGGGAAGATGCAACCCAGCCGTACCTCCAGACTGCAAGACTGGTAAAGAGCAGGAAGGATCGTTTTGGGGAGAGGTAAAATATGTATGTTCAAGAGTTTGGTTTTAAACGATTTTAGAAATTAACAATAGGAGGAACATCATCTGTAAGTATCTGTTTCAGTACTTCGATGTGGTCCATACAGGAAAGGTGAGAACTCCTACAAATGGGACAAGAAACAAGGAATTTGTTCGCATTTCATTAATAAATGAGAAGTTGCTTGTACTGTAGTTCACCCTCTGTTAAAAAAAAGAGAAGAGGCATACGTACGAACACCTGCTTGCCTTTGTAAGCAGCCCAGCATCCGGTGCATAGCGCGAGACGACAGCGGTTATTGCTAGCAATATTGAACAGTATTCTTTGTAAAAGGACTCTCATAAAAAACATAATAAAGGAAAAGACACACACCTGCAGGGTCAAAAGGCAGAATTTCTCCCAACATCCCAAACACTCCATCAGTTTGGTCACGATTTGGCCATGTGTTGTTTCTAGGTCCTTGTGGTTTCTGTCCTAACATCTCTGACATCATATTGTCCATATAGCTGCTCACAAGACCCAAGCTGTACAAATCGGAGCTTAAATCTGAAAAACCAGGGTTGTTCCACTGGTTTATATGAGACAATCCTGCCCCGACAGCTTGGACCGGCTGCTGCGAAGAGTTAGTCAGCCATTTGGCAGGTACGCGTTGCTGTGGTCCAATAGGTTGAAGTAAGTGTTGGTAATACTGCATTTGCTGCTGCTGCTGCTTTTGTGACTGCTGTTGCTGTGACAAGCCCTGCTGAGAAGGATGCAGTGGTGTGTGAGAGACAGACTGCGGCTGCTGTTGTACTGTTCCTGATTTCTGCTCTGTTGCTGTAGAGGATGCAACAGAGTTCCTTCTTTTCACCATCGGAGAAGCCTGCTGGGATTTGCCCATGTTAAAACCAGACAAGAAATCGATAACATCCTGCATTTCTTGGTCAGTTGGTAAATTCATACCTTTGTCATCCTTGCCGTCATCCGGCTTGAAGAAGTTGTCCCGTCTTTCAACCAGAAACCCATTCACTAGCTGATTATTTGTGCTCTGAATCGACTGCAGCGGATCCGCGGTCCTCGGAAAATTACCAATGTTCAAGATGCTTTGTAACCGTGCATCTATGTTAGTGGGCATTTTAGCTTTCTCCTCTGAGTTGGAACTTATGAAGACATTTTTGGAAGGTGTATTGGGGATTGAATAACTTCCAGTATTACTTGTACTGGTGCAGGAAGTTTTTTTTGTAAACCGTGAAGTCAGTTTTGAGAACGTCTTTTGCAGACCACCTGAAGATTTGCTTCCATTTCCAGATGGCATGTCAACTTGATTCCCAAAGTCTGAGATTTCACGCTGTAACTGGATCTGAATACACGGCAAAGCTTGCTCCCTGCATCAACAAAAACACACGTATCAAACCACCTAATGCATAACGGAGTCGGTACTTTGGAGGAAAAGGTGTATTTGGGTAATAGCCAGTGGAAGAAACAAACCCAAAGGTTGCCAAGTTCATCAGCTACTTTTTATGGTAACAATGCAACTTATTACTAGTATTTGCAATAGCATTCACTACCTTCCATTTCTCAAGAAATTTTAATTGTGCTTCAATACCTAAATGGAGATTAATGTAATATAAATCAAGTTTTTTTCTAAGAGAGAAACAAATACTTCTGTACACTGGGATAAGTGCTGGTTTAAGATGACTGTTGTATCTCTGCATGGACCCACAAGGTACCTATGTAAACTACCGATTTCTCACTCTCGGTTTGACCCCTCCTGATGAACCGGTACCATCAAATCCCTCAGTACAGATCTTTCAACAATGACGGCTTTGTTTAAAGTAGGAAAGTAGAGCATGAGGCGCAAGAGGAGATGTACCTTCCTTCCTTCCACCTGTGTGTGTCAAACACGGCGGTATAGAGCACATCTACTAGTCCCAAAGTCTTCTCTGGATCCAGACTCCTCTGAAGCAAAGACATTGTTGCTGGATCTTCCTTCAGACACCTGCAATCATTAAGTTTAGGTTAAAAAATCAAAAATTTTCCCATGCTGGTCAGATAAAAGGCCAATTGATGCACCACTGCTGCTCCCACAGAGGTGCAACTGGTAAAGGCACCATACCATATGAATGCCTGAGGGCTGCTAAAGACTGCACCTGCAGCCCCAGTTTCTTTCTACTGCTAAATATACAATTAATCTAATGGTAAAATTAAGAGTTACATCATTTATTTTAAAATCACGATGAATGATTAGCTCTTTTGCCGAGCAGGTGTAATTCAGGCAGAGGCAAGAGCTAACAAATACACAAAGCCCACCTCTGGAAAGGAGGAAAGGGGCTGACCGGGTGCGCTCCGGAGCCCAGCGCCAGGAGCCAGCCCCCCGCCTGACAGATGCCCGGGGAAAGGACTCTGCATATCCCACCGCCTGGGGAAGATGGTACGGAGCTGGGAAGATGCAGGATTAGTGACTTTTCCTCATTAACAGCACAGAATCAGGACTGAATTTGAGGTGAAATCAGAATAACTTAAACCTAAATATTAGCACAATTGTCAAGTGCTTAAGGAGCCGCTCGAGCAGCCGAGGACAGAGGCACTCTCCCCATGTGTCAGCAGGCGGAGCTCTTCCAGAGCACACAAAGCCAGGCTCAGAGCCCAACACCTTATTTTGGTTCCTTCATACTAGCGCAATTCACATAAAGAGAACAGAGAAGTGCCAGTTCATACTCTATAGAAGAATTAAAGATGTATTTGGGTAAACAGACTATCAGTTGAGTCGTACTTCTGGACGTACCACTGGTACCATTAGTCACAGGCTCTCTCACGAAGGATTCGGATGAATGAGCTGCGTTGTACTGAAATTCTAACCCTGAGTACTCCCAAGTAAGAGGGAAAGGAAGCGTTCCAATTCCAAATCATTGTTTCAAAAGGAAAGAAATCCTCACCTAAACTGCAGATTAATCCTACCATTCTTTCCTAGGCAGGCAACTAAACTGGTAGGAATAGCGTCTCTCGGACCACAGAGTTCTGCGGCTCATGACAGCGCGGAAAGAACAGCTCAGTGCAGAAGGAGCTAAGGCTCTCATACTCATCTCAGCTAATTCCTGGCCTTCCTGAGGTAGCAGCTCTGAGGACCTGCCGGGGAGGAGCATAACAGCAATACTATTGGATTAATTTTTTTTTTAAAAAACCTTCTCCTTCATCATCAAGCTTTTGCTTTTTCTTCGAAAGTCTGTTTTAGTGCCCCAGCACTGCCTCTCTTCTGGTGCCTCCAGCAGAGGCAGCACGAGTACAAAGACAGCTGAAGTACAACTGCCAGTCTGTCAGCAACGGTGGCAGTCAAACAGCTCCAGATAAAGGAACTTAGGGAAGATACGCCGTAACTGCGTAGCAATCTCTCTTCCATTTGCACTGCGATATTCTTCCCTATATATTTCAGTCATAGCTATCAGTATAATCTGCAATACAGTATTTTTATTTACCAAGTTGATGGAACTTGCACCACAATTCTGGATCCTTCTAAACTTATCTGAGGAGCATACGCTTCTTTATTTTCAATCTGTGCCGTGTCCACAACCACCTAGCAGATAAAATGAAAAACAAAAGGGAAATGATTTTAAGAATTAGTTCTAGTTATTTTATCACCTCTGTAGTTAAGATGCAGGAGTCTCACCTCCCTGCCATGCTACAGGCACAAAAACCAACCAGATAAAACCAAATTAACTCACAAAATCATTTTAAGTTGACTTCTATTTTAATATCTAAAAAAGAGAAAGACTATAAAATGATTAGTTTGCTACAGTAACCTATATTTCAAGGACTTAATTCTTCTCAATTCCATAGTGTAATTATGCATCACTATGTAGTTACCAACTCTTTACCTAACAGCTGGGAGTTATCAGGGGCTTCGGATCACAGCCCCTACGTTTGAGAGGTTTGGCACTATTACTACTTTAATAGCTCCCAAAAACCTATTTATAAAAATATTTTAGATAATTTAACTGCAGTGCACGATACGGTGTAGACAAGCAGTATGTAGTCTGAAACTCTTCACATAGCTCACAATTCTTAACACCCCACTCCTCCTTTTAAGCTTACAAAATCCCACGCCAGGATTTCTGTATTCCACCTAATGGAACTGTGCTATTATTAATTCCCTTTTAAATAAAAAAGAGAAAAGTGACTGTTCAATTTGTTGAATTCTGAGCCTTCTGTAAGACATCATGAAGATATATGGAAGATGAAAGTCTTCAAAATTAACCTTCTGTCATGAACCTTTCTTTTTATGGAACTGAGAAGGAATGGATTCGCTTCAGCTTCATTTAAACTTTAATACCACTGATAGTAAGTTCCATATTTGGTTTGTGCTTTCTGTTGTTGTCCAGTCTGCATGGGTTGGCCTTTTTGATCATTTCCATAATTTCCTATTTTGGTCATGCTGAACCAGCAGCTTTTTGGCAGCAGTCAGCAGTTCTTGCTTCAGTGACTAGCAGATTAGCTGTGCCATTTATCCTTGAAATGGCAAAAGTCCTCCGGTATAAATACGCCTCAGGGGATATTACTGGCTCTTTTGCAATCATCCTACACTGGTTCTACTTCTAACTGGTTGTCTACTGCTGGTTATGAAGAAATGTGAAATATGAATACTGCTGAGAGTCTTTTCTCTCTCTCGCTCTGACCATCCAATGACACTTGAACACAACTATTGCCTGAGTTTATTCAAACTTGTAAAACGTGCCTAAGCACAGAGACAAAACGCCATGCTATTATGCACTCGAGAAAATGCCTCTCACTTAATAACAGGGCAACTCCATTACTTTTTTCCTTGTATTTGTACCATTTTAATTTTATGTAATTTAGTGACCTGTGAATCAGCTACACCGCAATTATAATTAGGATAAGGAGAGATGAACTTAGGAGTGATTTTTCTCAACTCCCAAGAAAAATACTGTCTGCAGCTCAGACCTGTAAGTCAGAACGACAGTTCTGATGTGTGCAGAGCCACATCAGCTCCCGGTAGTGGCGATAGTAGTGCCCGTGGTCTGGGCTTTGTTGGGGGTGATATTCTCCCCCCCCAATCTTTGTTTCTTCCCTTTAAAAAAAAAAGTTTTACATTTCTCAACATTTGGTCAGCGTTACAACATCTGGGATTACTAGGAGATTTAGTGCTTCTGCAACGCATGCTGGGTTTTGCTACAGAAAGATCTACTAGCACAAGAAAGGATGGCTGGAGACTCAGTTAAACCTCTTCATGGCTCTTCATAAGGCCAATTCAAAGTTTTATTTCCACTCATCTTCTCAATTCAATAATACACGTTGCTTTTATTCCAACACGGACATTTCTTCAGCTGACCCAAATCTGAAAATAAAATTCTTGATGTACATGCTAAGGTAAAACCTGAAAAACTGCACTTTTAAAAATTATTTCTTATGTTAAAAACCTGAAGCCTAAAATACCAATGCCAACTAAGTCACATCTCATTGCGCTTTCCACCCTTAATGAGTTCCTTCTGAAAAAGCACATGGCAAGACAAGCTAAAGATAGTGAGACTCTGAAGTAATGTTCCTTTTTAAATTTGGCATTTAAATGACAAATTTACACACAATTCTGAACTGATGCAGCCAGCTTAGTTTCTGAAAGCAGTAAACCAAAGACTATGTAACATCGTCCCATGATTCATTTATCCGAGTTCTACACAAAATAAACTTAAAATAAACACATTCTCCCTCCCTGCCTGGTGGGTGCTTAAAGCATAGCTTCCTGTGCATCAGACATCTATTGTTCTTGTTTTACAGGTGTTTCCTCTCTCATCTCCACCCAAAGAATGCTTCAGAGAAGCAAATTACAATTTCTCACCATCGCATGAGGCATACAAGCATAATTGAATCTTGTAAAAAATTATGGCACATAGTTTATAAAGAAAAACCTCAACCCTCACACCCTTCCAAATTGTAACAAATCAAAGTGCAAATGAACGAAGAAGAGAGAAGGCTTGCAGGTATTTTGTCATGTGTATAGCTCATTACTGCGTCTTTGAAGATAGAAACCTGCTACTTTCAGAACCTGGGGTTCATGCAAAAATCTTCGGAGACATTCATGATTCAACGCAAATAATATTCCTTCCATCAGCACTATCATTTGGGAGAATGTGTAAGTAAGTTTCATGCTGACAACTCTCAAAATGTTATGATAAACCCGAAGAATTATCAGCGCTTTAATTACCAGCAGGTCTAACTAGTTATGTCTAGACTGGGGGACACCCGGAGATTTCCAGACTCCCGAGTCCCAGTGTGCCTCGGGCCACTCCCCAGATCTCATCAGGGCAGGACTTGGGTGTGCACAACACTGACCCCCCCAGAAAGGGAACAGCAGGAGGTGCAGCACCCTCCGAGGCATTCCTCATCGAGACACTCGGGAGCCAAGAACTCTTCCTGAGTTACGGCACACTCCCATCGCACTGCTGAGAAACAGTTTCTTTCTTGGCCGCATTTCCTGTACCTCGCTGCTGACTCCCAGAATCCAGCCACGAACTATGGCAGCTGAAGACACAATCCCATTAAATTGTATTCTTTTTTCCAGTTCTTCTTGTATTTATTAATATTTAATACACATTTTCCTTGAAAACCTCTAAGTAGAAATTTGATCAATCCTACTATTCCACAGTCACTTTCTCTCCTTGCAGAGATACCACCGCCCTATGCCTCCCTGGAAAACTTCCTTACACAGAGTGGTTAATGCACGACCGCCTCCTGTCCTTAAATCCCAGTATCAGAGGGAAGGACTGATGGCAGGTGCACTGCTATTGTGATATTGATGGTCTGTCCCTTTCATTTTAGGTCTTCTTTACACAAAGAGTCAGTTGAATTCCAGTATGACTTGAAGCTACTTCTCTAACAGATATTTAATATTAAGTGAGTACCTAATATCTAGTATCAAAGGAACGCTAAAGTAGAAATATCTGACAAATTTGCTATTTACAATTTATCGTTCACCATTATTGGAGAAGCTATTAATGGTACCAAAATAATACATGGTTTAATGAACTAGGACAGAAGGTCAAAGTCATTTAATCAGCTGTGTGATTTGTTTGAAAAATGTGGTATTTACAAAGTAAGTCGCAATACGGATCCTTTCATCAGAAATTACAATTAGTTCTGAAGTCCTGATGGCCTGCCATCACCTTGAACAAATAATCGGGTTATGAATCAACAAGAAGCATTTAGCTCATTGTATGTTAAAGATGAGTCAGAGAACACTTGACAGAAACTATCAGAGGCTACGGTGTACCTTTATGCTTGCATTTCCTCCTATCATCTTACATTCTGGCCCCCATTTTATTTGTCCAGTCAAACGAAAATTCATGGTAGTCCAAAAAATACATGTCATGAATGAACACTTTTATTAAGTGAAGAGATTGCAGTAAGTAGTTATGGGAGCACAAATACATTTTCTTATCAGAGTATGTTCCAAGCATATATTTTTAGCAGCTGTTTAGACAGTGTAAAATCCAGGGGGTTTGTTTCTAAAGACCACAAATATCTACAGCAAGGTACTGAATTGCTCTGTCCTCTGTTGCAGATGTCAGGCAGACATCTGTACTTAGTGCAGAGGACTCCGGGTCTACATTGGGCAGGAAACCCAGCTTCCATTCAAAGCAGAGTGGAAATGAAAAACGACATTTTTCAAAGCTAATCCGAGAGAAGTAAGGGGAAGAGGTGTTTCTTTTTAACACGGTCATCTATAGATTTGAAAAAATCTATTTCACTATGAATTAGGAGTTTTGTTTCTTGCGCACTCTCTAATAACAGAGACTACGAAGTACACAGTACAGTCCTCTGCTCCTGCCAGCTACAGATACCATCTACAAACTTGCACTCTAGGAGGACACATTCTGCTCATAAATCAAGTTAGCTGAAGTGTTAAAAAATGGAGAAACCCGAAAGTAAGACATTGGAAAATAATTTCCAAACTCTTTAAAATATCTTGTTTCTCTTCAGGATGTTTAAGTAGCCCTTTTTTCGCTAAGCCTATTTGTAGTCACTTACCAGTCCAGCTTGGCCAAATAACAATTGCACAGCAGTTTTGCAGGCTCCTCGCCAAGTGGAAGGGCAAACCTGATTCAGGACTTCAGTAACAGGAGAGTCATCCCGTGGTGTAAGTCCATTATGGCACCCTGCTTCCTTAATCAGCTGCAGCATTGTGTGCTGAAAAGGCATTAAAACTTTGTCATATTAAACATGTGATTTGTAAATGTTAACACCAATCCTTCCATATGTATTTATCATTATTCTACACGTTTTTCAAACAACTATAATGTCTGTTACCTCTGAACAGTCTTGTATAACTAGAAGAGCTCAACTGCAGAACAGAAATACGGAAGACCTTCTCTGCTATCTGGAACACAATACTCCTCCAAAATCATAAAGAGTATTTTTGCTTATATTCTCGCAAAATGGTTTAATCAAAACTACAAAAAGCACTGCAAAACCAACAGAAAAGCAGCATTTTGAGCTGTGGATTGTTTCAACTCTTTCAGGATTAAGGAACTGGGCTTATCTTAAAAAAAAAAAAGTGAAAATGCTGATTAAAATTGCCTAAATTCCTTCTGAATGGACATCTTTTCCATTCCTTTATACTGAAAACACAATTAACTTCTCTACAACTTAAAATTACTTCTAAAAATTGATTGAAGTTTGTAAGAAGACACTAAAAGGAGCACTGTTATAAAATATTTTTTCAAGTACCTCCCTTAGCACTAGGATGGTCTGGACCAGATGTATTTTGGCTCCGAAGAAGATAAAAGTTCTGAAGTGCATCACCTGGTTGGAGCATCTGTAAGGGGTCACTCTCCTCTGCACTCGACACCTAACCCACCTATTTTCAGAAAGTTCATAAAAGCTTCATCACCTCCTAGACGTCTATGCTTCTCTCAGACTGGACGGAATTTGCCCAGGTGGTTAAAGCGTTATCAGAAGCAGGCATGGACCAACAATGTTATCAACATCATGTTTCCACAGGAAGTCAGGCTAAAAATACGCACTTTTAAATACAAGTTTGGCACTGAACTTCTACTGCAGTTGTTCCCTGAATTTTAATGAGTTCTACTCTTATTTTATTTTTTTTTCTCTCCCTCCCCCCGCCCTCCTGTGGTTAGATTCAGGGTTATTACCGTTTTCAGCTTCAGGTTTTCTGCTGCAGATTCATTAAAGGATATTCCTTTCAGAAAATGTGATCCTATCTGGACAGGTACAGTGGGCAGTTCACACTGAATTGGCTGAGGTGGAGTCTGTCTCCTTCCTGTTTGCTGGGCTTCAGCTTCACTGCAACAGCCCTGAGATATAAAGCAACAGATTAATTAGAAGAAATGAAGACATTAGAAAACCTAGTATGAGTCAATTTTTTTTTATTTTTTTTTTCCAAATAGTTATTTTCAAGGTGTGGAGAGATGAAAGAGAGCAGGTTTAGCAGAGCCTACCTGAAGACTCGCTTCAATAGCTTTTGGGTTCAAGTGGAAGCCAGCCTTCATTGCATATTCACAATGGCCCAGACTCTCCAAAGCCACCTTGTAAGCCTGACACGAAACAAAAAGTTGAGATAGAACAGGCGTAACAGCAAGTGAACACGCACACAGTCATTGTGTCTGGAAACATATATAACAATTGTTGCATGGAGTTGCCCTACTCGGTTCTACGGCACACACACATGTATCATAGGATTCCAATACTGTCAAATTCTCATATTCTCAAATACCTCACGGCTGCCTGTGGTATGCGTTTCTACAGTAATATACTCCTTCCCTGCTTCGCTCCTTGGCCCGCTGACTGTACTACCTGCACGTGAAAGCAGCAGACTTTAAAAACTCACCTGCAAAGCACTGTCAATTTTCATGTTTAGCTCTTTGAGCTGATGTTCAGGGATTGCCACACTCTGTGAGCAGAAAAGTTGCTGAACTTCAATTCCTGCCAAACATCCATCACAGCCTCTTTCTCGCAGTCGAGATGTGGCCTGTAATGTAAAATAAAAATCCAGAGTAAAGAGGTCCAGGTCAAGCTTAATTAAATTTTAAAAAGAGAAAAAGAAAAAAACACCACGGAGTTTGAAACATTATAAAGGAGATGAGAAGCAGCACCTGGTGGAAAGGATCTGGAGGAGATTATTTATTACAGCTTATTAAACCTCTGCTGCTACTTTGAACCTACAAGTCTGACGTAATTCCTATGGCATATAGGTGTTGGCTAGCAACTTAGCTCAACATTGTTTGCTGTTACTATTTCAGCTCCCTCTCCAGACTAAGGATCCTGTTACACCGGCCACATGATGACTGTGGTTATCAGAGGAGGGACTTACAACTTCAACAGAAAGGGTATTGCGTGCCACAGAAACAGAAGATACATTTACTCATGTGTACAAACACTCCTGTGTACAGAAGATCTATTTTATAAAATTAAGGGCGATTACTGCGGTGCAATTTGAGAAGAGCCACACAACACTCAGACCAACTCAGCAGAGCAAGAGAATAGCTTTATGTAATATGATTTTGAAAAATAAGAAATACGAAAAGCCAAATATCTAGTTTTCACTGTAAAACATTACACTACTTAGCAGGGTAAAACAAATAGAAGCCTACTCTTAACTGCACTCAAGGCCTCAGCTACAACCTCTTTTTCAGTCTCGGAGGGAGCCTTGCTGTAAAGCAGGATGTCCAAACCGGGGGTGTTTGGTAGCCGCCAGGCAGACACATTGCACACCTCATCGACACATACAAAATTACAGTGTTTTCCAAGTGAAAATCTGAAAAAGCAATAGTTTTGAGCTACTGACAAAGCATCATCATAAACTTTATTCTGCAATAGCAGTGTATTCTCCTGCCAAAGAGGCTGATTTTATATGGAAATAATGGATAGAGTAACTTCTATTGTTATTCTGGAACTAGGGAGAATCTGTATTTTTCTCTTCTCCCAATGTATGTTTATTAAAGGATTAGATTAGTGTAATACTTGTACTAAACTCTATTTTGAAATACAGGTTTCATTAACAGAAATAGCTGATTTGGCTTGTTAAGGTGGTAAAAAAAGAAAGTTAAGATCCCACATTCTACAAATTTAAGTTTAATTTTAACCACATTTTAAACAAACTTGACAGCAATTGCAGGGCAGTTCTAGAAATCGTAACACAGTTTTAAGGAACTAAGTATACTAAACAAAAATAACTACTTTTATGCAAAAGGAGTAAAGCTATACCAGGATTAGACCTGTTACAATTATCTGTAATACACCTAACGGACTCCCAAATCCCTATTGCATCCAATGAAATAAACTTATGCTGCAGTAAAAATTACAGGCAACTCCTCTGCATGCATAGTTTTAAAGGAAACCCGTTTGCTTTCATACACCTTGCAGATGCCAGTTGACAAATGGAAACCTTGACAAGATTTCCAGTCAGTATGATTAACATGCCTGTGTGGGCTGCCAAATTTGACTTCAAAAGCAGATGCTCCAAGTTACGTGAATTTAAGGGAACTGGGCACTTGGTGTTTGAATCCATTTTGGTCTACGAGTCTGCAGGCTTTGACAGTGCAAGGGAAAGAAAAAAAGCTCATACAGTTATTTTTCTCTGTAGAGGACCTTTTTCGGCAGGAAAAGTAAGCACTCCACAGAGGGTGTTTGTGAAAATCCAAGTCCAGAGAGTGGTACATTTAAGTAATACCATTAACATTCCACCAACTGATGGATCAAGCAACATCAAGCTTAACAGCACGAAGGCAAAAGTGTTAACAGTTACCGTAAAGATTTTTAAGTATAAAACAGAATTCATGCTCAAAATTAAAGAGACATAGACCTTATCTAAATTATATTTCATCACAATTTTGCTTTGTTTTTGCAAAGGCTTGTTGCATGAGGTTTTTTTCAAATGCCCTCTGTCTGCCAAACCACATTTGAACGTTAATTCATTACCAATAAAAAAAGCTGTCTCCACTGTTTGTGCACTTATGTACAATCATATCACCAAGGAAACTTTACACAGAACAAAGACAGTACAATCACCATATACGTGAAACAAGTTTTAGCATCTGAAATTAACTGCACCATGCCCCCCGCCTTCGAATGTAGCATGTCTTTAAAATCAGAGATTTTCTTCCTTTACTAGGGCATCCAGCTGGAATTTAGGTTTCACTAAATATAACTGGCATTTCACTAAATATAGTGCCACTACAGTAAGACCGCCGTACCTCTGCCGCTCCTCTCCATGATCTTATTGCATCTTCTAGCTCATTTGTGGGGCTTACATTTGAGGCTCCAGCCCCACTAACATTCTTTCTCTCCTGTGCCACAGCTTCAGCAAAGCAAGAGTGCGCCACTGGCTGGACCTTCTGCAACGCTTGTGACAGGAACTGGAAGTGGACCTGCATCACCGTCAAGAAACATCGCCCCAGTACCTGCGGGAGAAGAAACAAACCACTTTCAAGCAAATAGAAGATTTCACAGAAGTTTCCCTTCTTTCTTTTTGTTCAGCGTTTGGGGTAAGGAATTAAGCTAAACTCAGATCTTTTTTATTAAAATAACACTTCAGATATGTAACCATTTACTTAAAATAAGGTAAATGGTAAGTGAGCATTGGTTTCCATGAATTAAGGGGAGATCAGACTGATACCATATCCTTTTCACTTCTGCACTCAAGCTACGGTTATTTGAAGAATGAAAAGCTTGTTAAGTTACTTAGCAATATCGAGCACACGAAACAATACAACAATGGGAGTAGCGTATGAACACAAGGACAAAGTCAACAGCAAGCCCCACTTGTACAGAGCTAGCTGAATTTATGCTTAAACAAACAAAAAAAATCCAAATCATTGTAAAACATTATCATAAAAATCAGAAAAGTTTAATCCAGCAGTTTATCTTCCAAGCAGAGCAATAACCGGTCATAAGCATGAAAAACATTTAGCCCCATAATACAGGGGCAACACAGTGCCGTTTTCGGAATACAATAGTGACTGCAGAATGCACGCACAAAGTTGCAGCCCTGTCACTCGCATTGTCTGACAGGAACTGCTAACGCTGGCACAAATCTGCTCTTCAGAGTATTTCTCTGAACTGGGTCATGTAGCGCGCCCGAGGAGAGCCCGAGGAGAGCCCGGGACGCGAAGGGGTGCCGGGCTGAGGGCAGGGAAGGGCGCCCGCCTCGGCCAGCCGCAGCTGGGCTCTGCCGCCTGCACCTCTGTGCCCCGCACCTCTCCACCCCCGTTCATCTCCCTCTCTCGTACCCACGCTAATGAGAATTACGACCAAAGACAGACACGTGCCCCAGTTACTATAAAGGAAAACCAAACAGGTCGCGCAGACGGCGTATTTAGGTGTGGAAGAACAGACGGGAGCGCAGCCGCCCAGAAGGAGAGCGCGCGGAGCAAGGCGGCAGGAACAGGGGGGCTCCGGCCACCTCCAGGGCCACGCTCCCCGCGGCGGAGGAGAGCTTACAACACAGCCTAAGCAGAAGGCAGCAGAGAAGCGAGTGTTCTCCAAATTACTGTAGAAAGTATTTAAAAGCTATTCAAAGCGTTTTGTTTCTTCTATGGAGTTTGTCACGGAGAGTGGTTTAAAATGTATGTTTGACTTTGATTTATTAAAAAAGACTCAACTTGAATTCCATTTTAGGAATAATTCATAAAATACACAGATAATGTACAAAGCCGCCGTGCCTTGGAGCAAATAAATCATCTGGCTTATTTTCAGCTACATTCTTCTGGAATAAAAATATTCAGACACAATGATCTTGCTGGCAAGGCTCTGCAGTCACACGAACAGTTATATGCATTAACTATCTACTTCAGAAGAACCAGTGGTGGCAATGCTTTTTTCCACTGCATCCGGACTCCTTTTGACATTCCATTCTGGTTCAATCACTTCCCTTCTTTGTACGAGGCATAAAATTAAACATTTTTGGTACTTTGACTGACCTCTGAAAGTGGAATTGCCTTATTAAAAAGGCAGCCAGCAAATGATAAAGTGAATAAAACTCCAACTTTCTGGCGATAAGATTAGAAAGATTCACAAGGAAAGTGCAGGAAAAGACAACTGGCTATCTGAGTATTTCTGTGTATGAAGAATGCAGTTCTCAGGGGAAGAAGAAACTAGGACTCATTAAGAATTCCAAGCCGATTAAGTTTCAAAGAATATTTAAGGTACAGAGGTTGAAGTTTCCCCTGCCTGGGAATAATGCTCAAAATAAACAAATGATTTCGTTTTTAAGTGGCAGCACACAACATTCCTAGTATCATTTACAATATTAAACAGTAACGATAAATAGTAACATCTGCTTTACTGAACTTCTCTTTTGTTTGAAAAATAATCTATTTGCGTCTTCCTCAGAAATGGGTAAGGATGCTTTTAACTGCTTAAATAAAATTCAAGTGGTGGAGGATTTCTGCACTGTCAAACACTCACTGTAGAGGCCAAACTCGCTTAAAGTTCACTTCATAAGGATTTTCTTCCAAAGAGCTGAATCTGTCTTAACTGTGGGAAAGAACGACCGCCACCAGTGTAACAAATAGAGGCAGGGTTGGCCAGCAGTTACCGAAGTGGGTAAAGCAATATACTACATCGCTTGCTGCAAAATCTGCACAACATTAGCATATGGATGCATTTTTATCACAGACACACCACCATCTCTTTTTCAAGTTTATTTCTCCCTACTTTCCACATGTGGAAGCATGTGAGTCTCCTGCTTTAGACCATACTAAGAACAAACTAAACCTAGAGACTACATAGTAATCAAAGATGAACTGGAATCATCAGGGGTGTCAACTAGTAAGTTCTTCTTGATCCATTTCTTAGAATAATTTCTATTGCATATACAATGAGGTCTTCAGCTTGCAAACCATTTGTCCCAAGAAACACAGCTCTAGCACCTTGGCCTTCCTAACCCGTTACCAGGTAGGAGAGCTACCTATCTTGGCAGCTGAATAACCTTACCCACGGGAAACCGTATTCCTGTTTAGGCAGTTGGAAGCAATGGGACTGTTTGGTGACGTCTCACGTCAGACTTCCTTGTCTCCGAAACAGGTTATGAGTTTAATCAAACTGGTTACGTACAAAAGGAGCATCAGGTGGAGAGGCAGTGTGCAGTCACTCTGTCCCGTATTACCCTCCTCAGGGGGACACACAGTCACCTTTGGGATATTTTGCTGGACAAAGTGCACAGGTAAAATTGCCAGATTTCACTGCTGAACAGTGATGCTATGCAAATCCCGGGGCAAACAGATCTTATACAACAGATTCTTTAAAACAGAACACTACCACTAATAAAGTTAGCAAATAACCAGTGTCAGCCTTCCAAACTTGGTACAAACACTGACATGCAGTTCCAAGTAGCATTTTATGTAGTAGTATTTCTTTTTCTCTTTTTCCCTTTTTTTTTTTTTTTGGGGGGGGGGGTATTTCCCTAAACAAACAAAACCCTCAAAACCCCAAAACACCATTATGTGCTTATTCAGTGGTTTCCCACTACTCTCATTTCCCTTAGCAGAGTTCTTAATGGCTTTGGTAACGGTAAGCCCTGTGCACAACCTGCCTACCCACTGAAGAGACCAGATGAAAGTAGCAATATAATGAAGTTAACAACGCGATATGACTCAGACTGGTGTAGCAGATTATGAGATAACCCCCGTTCCCACATATTACTGAAAGTGGGCAGAATATTATTCATTTTTACTATGTAGCAATGCCCTGCAATTCGGAAGAATGATCTCATGACCAAAACACCTCCAAGGGAAGACACTATCCTGCTCATTGAAAGAGAGTTACCTA